GGGAAGCGACCAAATGAACGGGCGACGAGGTATACAACATGAATGGCTAGAGTTTGGGAAGGAGCATGGCCTGAAGCATCTCGTTCTTCCGCAGTCCAAGGTTGGAGAGAACGATGCGATCACCAAGCCTTTTGCCCATAAACATGAGCATGATGGTGGCGGCAGGCCTTTGCAGCTGATCCGCAAGCAAGCCTCGGACACGACCCAGGGCATCTGCGACCACCCAAGGTGGCAAATGACAAAGAAGTGCGCATGAGAGTTTTCACGAGTGGTTGGAAACAAGCTGGGAGGGATCTTGCGAGAGCGCAGGGGCTGGGGTGGGCGCAACGCAAGCAGATCAATGTACCATCAGCGCCGACGTCAAGGGTCAGATCTTGACCATCAGAAATGCGCATTTTTAGAACCGTGGGTTCGCCTTTGCTTGGGGGCAGTTGACTGGAGCTGGAAGGTCCGGCATTTGGTGAGGAGGGGTCGGGGCGGGTCGTGGCTTCTGATTCGATGGGTGTGGGCTCCACCGTCACGTGCTGCGGCGTTGGGGATGGTGTGTTGACTGGCGCGGCCATGTCTTTGCGAGCACATCAATGCAGGTGCAGCATCGTAAGAGGTGAGGCGAGTCAGATGTGTCCATGCAAAACTGGCTGTTGCATGCCGCCACCTCGATAAGCCTCGTACCAATAACATTGACCGGAAGGGCGATACAAAACGCCGGAATGTCATAGCGATGACCAAGCTCATCATATGCAACACGAAGAGTACCTGCACGGTCAAGTTGGATCAGAGCCCCGTGGCAGCCAGCATGAGGGCCACGCATCAAAGGTCCAACACTACTCTGGGCGTGAGGGCTCACCGTCGACAAGGCGAACACCAGCCGAATCTAGGATGGCTCGGGCCAGGGCAATGTCCTCGGCCTCGCACGCCCCTCGCAATGCATCCCATATTTCTTGCCGGCCACCGTAAGCCGGGGAGGTGGCCCAGAACTATGACAAAGACGGCTACATTGAGCTTTGTCCTGGATTTGTGGAGCATGCAGCGAGAATAACTGCACCTCTTCGCGCTGTTGGATAATCTGCTGTTTGGTGACGGCGTCCTTGGCTTTCCAGTTGAAAGGTGAATCCAGAAGGGGAACGGGCCCTTGGGCTCCTGTCAACCAAAGCCAGGAAAAGTGTGGTGAGTATTGTGGCGCCTCTGTCCGAAAGCCGTGGGTGGCCCAAGGCACTCAAGCCGAGGGCGCACCAAAGACTGTACTGGGTGCGGCAGGATGGGCAGCGCGCTGGTGATGGTCCATGGAACGGGCTTGGTTCGAGCCAGGCTCGCCCTCATCGAGCGAGAAGCAGCAACCCATGCCGAGGATGGCGGGATGAAATCAAAAAAAAAGCCCGTTCTGCGCTCAAGCGCGTGGTAGACGACTGCGTCGGCTCAAGCGCCCATGTGCCCAAAAGAATCTTCGTGTCTAACAAGCGGGGAGGTGGCCGTCGTGGTCAACAACAGCCGGAGGACACTCTTCAAGAAAGGGTGCCCTTGCAACCAAATCTGGGAGCACGCAGAGCCAGGCTACCAGAGCCCCGTCTACCACCACCGCCCTCTTTGCGGCTGCCGCTGCTGTACCCGTGCGCAAGGATGGCGTGCGTCAGGAGAAGGCAGAGATCCCAATGTTGAACCGATGTCAGCCCAACGGGCGCATGCACCGCAACGGTGATCGAGCTAGCAGAGAACGAAAGAACGATGGACGGCAGAGAGAGCGGGCGTTGCTGGCGTTGCTGGTGAGGCTGATGAGGGCTGGTGGGGCTGGTATTGGTGGTCGCTGAGACAGAAACAGCGACGAGACGCTGACAGCGACCCTGGGCACGGGCGGATCTAGCCGAGCGAGCTCTCGAGTCTTGTGATGTGCGCGCACGAATCCGATCGAGGCGTCACATCAGACTCCCGTTGCATATAACACACTTATTGCAGTTTTCATAACCAGCTTGTTGATACTTTGTGTTGCTATAACACCAATAGTTGTAGAAGGAGGCGTTTGTTGAGAGAGATGGGAAGAGAGAGACACAAGCAAACGCTGGTTCATGTGGTAGTGTGATGTCGGTTACACTTTGGTACGGATTATCTATAGTGTGACACTTGTTGCACTTAATGGCTATAAGCGCGCGGATGTCAGCAATAAAACGGTTCTGGAGAAGAAGCGCAACCCAAACCGCCTAAGGCTGACACACCCCCCAACAACTGCAACAGCCACAATAAGCACTGCAACAACTACAACGGCAACTAGCTTTGCATCTGCAAGAACCGACACGTGTGCGACAGGAGGGCTCTCGGCGCCGTCGTCACCCCTCAAATGAGGACAAACACCTGGACGGCGCCATCCCGATGGTACATGCGGGTGATACGTGATCCCGTGGTGGCCGAGGGGGTGGCAACGTCGGCGGCGATTCACGCGACCCGCTGGCCTGATGGTCGAGGGAGAGAAGAGAAGTTTGACGCGAAGGAAGAGGAGACGTAGGATGATCTGACCCACATCATGTCGCACTGGGCCATGGCTCATCAATCGGATCAATCCCATCCCCCTACCGTCTCATTTCTCCAGCGACACGCGACCGTTGCCGTGCTGTTCCTCCGCTCATCTTCTCTTGAAACGAACGTGACGCTGCCGCTCGCTCGCACACTTCCCTATGAAAGCCCAAAGACGCCCAAAAAAAAGCTTAGGGGTGGGTCATTCCACTTGGTCCTCCTGCCGGTGTTTGGTGTGTATCATAAACTACAGACGGATATGGCAGCGGCTGAACAGCCGGCAAGCCGTCCATGTCCTGCCACCCCTGCCTCTTGATGCTCGCACACCGACCGTGCTGCCGCACAGGCTATTACCAGCCAAGACGACATTAAAAATCGGGCCGAGAAACTGACGCCCATGTGGGCCAGTAGCGGACGTCGCGTTGTGGTGATAAACGGGCCCACCACCCAAAAAATTCGCAGCAAAAAGGAACCAAGAAACGGCAGCCGGATAGCAACTCCCCACCACCACCTTCCCTCTCCCTCTCCCTCTCCCTCTCCCTCCCTCTCTCACACACCCATCAGCAAGTGCCCCTGCACACACATCACACACACACACACACCCAGTCACACGCTGCCATCCCTCCCTCCCCCTCATCCCCCTCATCCCCCTCATCCATTATATCCCCTTACACATGTAGACGCTTTAATCCCACAGCCAAAAGACGCGAAATTTATTTCGGCTGTGTGTGTGTGTCTCTCTCTCTCTCTCTCTCTCTCTCTCTCTCTCTCTCTCTCTCTCTCTCTCTCTCTCTCTCTCTCTCTCTCTCTCTCTCTCTCTCTCTCTCTCTCTCTCTCTCTCTCTCTCTCTCTCATTTTGGCGCCGAACATTTTTCTCTCTCTCTCTCTCTCTCTCTCACGTCTTCTCCGAAACCTGCAGTCCGTCGTTTTCTCACGACATCCATCCGCCCCCTCTCGCTCTCTCTCTCTCTCTCTCGTCTTGA